GGCAGACTCCCTGCTGAGAGCAGAACCCAACATGCGGCTCTACTCCACAATCTCAAGATCATGACCAGAACTGAAATCAAGAGTCTAATGTTAAAAAAAAAAAAAAAAAAGAGTCTAATGTTTAACTGACTGAGCCACCCAGGTGCCCCTACTGGGGAAAATTTTTAGTTAAGGAAAAAAACCCTTGGGCAGTCCAGGTGGCTCAGCGGTTTAGCGCCGCCTTCAGCCCAGGCCCTGGTCCTGGAGACCTGGGATCGAGTCCCACGTCGGGCTCCCTGCATGCACCTGCTTCTCCCTCTGCCTGTGTCTCTGCCTCTCTCTCTCTGTGTCTCTCATGAATAAATAAATAAATAAAATATTTTTTTAAAAAAAGGAAAAAGACTTTTTATGACTTCTGGACCTCAATTATCTTTCTGGATTTTGAAAAATAGTACCCATGGGCAAGAGGTGGTATTCAAAACATTTAATTAGCAGGTCTTCAGAGTACCAACACTTGGATGGCAGCTGGAGTAGAGATGGGTCTCAGAGGCTTTTGCTAGGGAGCCCTCTGCCCACTTTTAACCCTATGGTTGCTGGATCATGAAGTGGAAAGCGGCTGGGTGGCAGGAGGCCACATGGAAGGGATTTTGGAACAATAGCTATTTCGTGATTGCTACTGATTATCAGCCCTGCCTAAGGGTCCTCACCAACTGGATCCCACCAGCTCCCCCCACCTCCCATTTTCTGCCTACTTGTTGCCAATGCTCAAATGCTTTTCTCTACCACAGCAGTTTATTCATCATTTCTTCCTTTTTTTAAAAAGATTTTATTCATTTATTCATGAGAGACACGAAAAGAGGCAGATATAGGCAGAGGGAGAAGCAGGCTCCATGCAGGGAGCCCGCTGTGGGACCTGATCCTAGGACTCCAGGATCACACCCTGGGCCAAAGGTAGGCACTCAACTGCTAAGCAACCCAGGCATCCCCATTTCTTCCTTCTTTAAAAAGTAATCTCAATGCTAAATGTGGGGCTTAAACTCATGACCCCAAGATCAAGAGTCACACACTCTAATGACTGAGTTATCCAGGCACCCCTAGTCATCATTTCTTGAGAATCCCTTGCCTTTTCATGTCTTCATGATCTTACCTATGCCTAGAATGCCTTTCTCCTCCTTGTTTGGCAAATTTCTTTGCATCTTTATAGGCCCAGGTAAAACATCACCTCCTCTATAAAATCTTCCTTGACTTCCCAAGGTAGAATTAATTGCCTCTTTATTACTGTTCTGTGAATATACATACTTTTATTATAGCATTTATCACATTGAATTGTGTCTTGGTTCTGTCTCCTTCACAAAGTTGTGAGCTCTTTTTTTTTTAATTTTTTTTTAATTTTTATTTATTTATGATAGTCACAGAGAGAGAGAGAGGCAGAGACACAGGCAGAGGGAGAAGCAGGCTCCATGCACCGGGAGCCCGATGTGGGATTCGATCCCGGGTCTCCAGGATCGCGCCCTGGGCCAAAGGCAGGCGCCAAACCGCTGCGCCACCCAGGGATCCCAGTTGTGAGCTCTTTGAGGACTAGGACTGTGTCCCATTCATTCTTATACCCCAGCATCTACAACAATGCCTGGTGTCCATGTACTTGATTTTTTTTTTAATTTGTTGAATGATTCTCGAATAGGACTGCAAGGTCAGAAGGGGGCCTATGCTATCTTTTCTCCCAGCTGGCTATTTAAAACTCAGCAACAGCCCTGATACATGCTACAACACTGATGAAACTGAAGACATTATGGCAAGCCAAAGAAGTCAGTTACAAAAGACCACATATTCTATGATCCCAGTTGCGTGAAATGTCCAGCAGAGGCAAAGCCACAGAAGCAGAAAGTGGATTAGGAGCTTGAGGGGATGGGGAAGAAAAAAAGAGTGACAGCTAAGGAGTATGGAGTTTCTTTTTGAGGTGGTAAAAACGTTCTTGCACCGACTGTGGTGGTGTTGCACACCTCTGTGGATATAAAAATCATTAAGTTGTGTACTCTAAAGGTGAATTGTATGGTGTGTGAATTATATCTCAATAGTACTGTTATTTTAAAAACACCTGTTACATAAAAAAAAACAAACACAAAACCAAAAAACAAAACAAAAAGAAACCCCACCACTGTGTCTGATTCCAAAGGAAGATTCAAATGTTTGCTGCTGTTGAGGAAGATGGTCACACTGGGAGTGTGGAGAGGTAGGTGAGGCACGTGGTTGTTGTGGGGGGTTGTCATACGTGGAAATCAAGTTGAGTCCTTGTAATAAAACGGGCCACAGAATATTTCAGAAGGAGGGGTTCTGGTGAAAACGGAAACCACTTCAATGAAATCAGGTTTCAGCAAAAAAGGGATGAGGTTAGCTCGAGAAGAGTGAAATTTTACTTTGAAACTGGTGGCTGAGTATGGTCTCCTCACTTGGCCTGGGAATTTTTTAAGAGGAAAGAGAATATGTAATATAGTATAAAATAAAATAAAATAAAATAAAATAAAATAAAATAATATAAAATAATATAATATAATATAATATAATATAATATAATATAATATAATATAATATAATATAGGCGGGGGGGGGCAGGGAACCTCTGATACACTCAGCCTGTAAACCCAGCATCTAGGAAGTAGGGAGCTTGAAAGGAGGCTGCCCTCCTTTTCCCAGGCTGGGAGCTGCTGGAAGGTCCTTTGTCACAGTGCAGGGCCTGCAGACTCTGAAGCCTGACTCTTCCACTTACCAGATGTAATGTTTTGGGAAAAGGGAAAATCATTCAACCTTAGTGCCTCCACTGTCTCTACCATAAAATGGGGGTAGTGATAGCACATTCCTCACAGGACTGTTGTGAGGATTAAACCAGTGAAGATTTTTTAAAAAGACTTTATTTATTCGTGAGACACAGACAGAGGCAGAGACATAGGCAGAGGGAGTAGCAGGCTCCCTGCGGGAAGCCTAGGGTGGGACTAGATCCCAGGGCCCTGGGATCACACCCTGAGCCAAAGGCAGATGCTCAACCACTGAGCCACCCTGGTGCCTCTCATATGAAGAACTTACAGTGTCCAGTACAGGAGTGCCTGGCTGGTTCAGTGGGTAGAGCATGTGACTCTTGATCTTGGGGTCATAAATTCAAACCCCATGTTGGGCATAGAATTTGCTTAAAAAAACAAAACCAAAACAAAACCCAGTGCCCTGTACATAGTGAGGATGAGAAGAAGGCAGTCCCTAAAGGGATGGACACGTTAGTGTCTAGAGCCACAATACTGGTGGCTGGAGAAGTGGCTGTTCCCTGGATAGCCTTGAGAGAGATTGGGGAAGAGGTAGCAACTGGTGCTGGTGATAGTGGCGGCAGTGGCCGGGAGGTGGGGGTGTCAGGTCAGGGTGGTGGCTGGGAAATGGTCTGAAGAGTTAGCAGCAGCATTGCTCAACCCTGCCGGTGGGGCTCAGACTTCCTGTTTTCAGTGTCTGTGAGCCCTGATGCTGGAACTACTCATGTTGGAACAAGATCTTTCTTGGCCCCTGAGGCAGTGGGGGGGGGGGGGATGCAGAGGCTATGAAGCAGCTCAGCTTGGGCTGGGCCCCTTAGCTTCACATCATGCCTTTTCTTTCCTGGCAAGCTTTAGCTCCCATAAAACCCTCTCATGCAATCCTGGGGTGGAGGAGAGGAGGGGGCTCCTGCTCGATTCTTTAAGAATTTACAAAGTTTTGTCATAACAGCCAACGTTTTTGTGCCTTTACTAGGTGCCAGTATTGTACTAAGAGATTTGGGAACTCGTGAATCCTTGTAACATTCCTGGGAGGTAGATATTATTATCTCTTTTTCACAGATGGGGAAACTGGCACAGAGCCCCAAGTCACACAGTTAGTGTCAGAGCCAGGGTTCTAGTCCAGACTACCTGACTCTATAAACCATGCTCTGAACCACTGTATTACAATAAATAACTTGGCCTGCTATATTATAGGGATTAAAAACAAAATACTCTGGGTTCCTGCTCGCCAGTTGCCCAAGGTCTAGGGAGCCTCTGAATCGGAAGCCCACGAGACATTGCACCCTCAAACTCCACTAAAAAAACTGACTATTCATGCAGAGGACACATTCTGACCATATCTTGAATTTACTTGGACCTTCAGGTAATCTGGCCAGTTGTCCCCAAAGGATCTCAATCGAGAGTGCTTATCAGAAACATCTGGTGAAAAAAAGAAAAAGAAACCTCTGGGGAATTTTTCTAAACTCACAAGACCTGGCACCAGCCCTGACCTGAATCACAATCTCTATGGGTGGAGCATTGGCATGTATATATTTTTTAAAATGTTCTTAGGTGACTTGGTTAAGAAACACTGCCAAAACCCATTAACATAGCTTGGAAATTTCAACATTTTACCATCCAGTTGTATCTCCCCACCTGCCTTCTATACCCCAGTTCTCCAGAAGTCAATGTTTGGTTCAAAATGTGTGGCCACCTCCATTAGGATACCACCTAGCTCTAGATTCTGAGTCCCCTAATATTTGGGATAGCAGTGACTGGTCATGAGCTCCATTAACATACTGAGAAAACTTAGCACCAGACCCTCACACAGATGATGGGAAATTGTTTTCTGTTCCCTGAATGCCACACTCAAGCTGGGCTGGGTTTTAGATCAGCAATTTGCACTCATGCAGGTGTTCTGCTTGGTTGAGGTCAGCCCCAGGGTTATTATGAACAAGGTGAAGAGAATATGGTGGGGCCTATCCTAGCGGATCACTGTGTACAGCTGTACAAGATGTGCACTGTACAAAGGCATCAGTCTAATTGACAGTTGATATCAAGCCTGCACACCATGTGCTTATGTGATATGGAGGACCTACTCTATAACTCTTCTAGACTCTACTTCCCAAAGCCCCATTAAGTCCAGAGATTCAGGCCCCCAAGAAACTCTGGGGTATATGCCACCACCATTATTTTCCACTTTTTAAGCTTCCCAACTTCCTCTCATACAAGTACCAAGAAGGAACCAAAGTCTTCAGAAAAATCACATTTTATTGATCTTTATTCAAAATTATAAAAATAGATATAAATAAAAATAGCAGAATATAATTATTAAATATTCAGTGTACACGAGTGGTCCTCACCTCACCCAGTGAGGATTGGATAAACTCAGCTGAAAGGTCAGAAGGGATAACTGGCCAAGAAAGAACATCTATGTAAAAATGAAACTGAAAATTTAGTGCTGGTCACAGGCCATGCCCCAGAATGATACATTCATAGGCATCATCACATGAGAGGCCCAAGAGGCCCTAGGAGTGACCTCTCCAGACCATTTTATGTGACATCAAAGTACACTCAGTTTAGGGAAATATCTAGACTTGCAGTCAAACTCAGGAACACTAGCTGTTACACACACTGACACTCAGCCTGTGCACCAGTGTACAAACATATACACACATATATAATATTTCCTGATACATTCATGGAATGTCAGAGCCCTTCCATCAAGTCATTAGTGTCTCCACTCCCCAAGCCACTGTTCAACAGTGGCCACGCTCCCTCAAGAGACCTCTGTTCTGTTCTACTTCCTAATTAAGAAATTATTCATTTCCCAACAGTGGGCCTCATGAATGCCCGCTGTTGGGGGAGCTGGCTCTCTTTCTACCTATGCTCAGGAAATGGCATTTTTCACTCCAGGAGGCTTTAGTTCAGAGAAAGACAAACAACTGGTCAGTACCATCCTGGGTCAGGGCCATTCCTCCATCCTGGCCTCAAGAGATCTGGGCACTCAGCACCCAGGCCTGTATCTGAAGATCAAGCTATTGCTGCTCACCCTGGTGGGCAGTACAAGCAAAATCATCTCTGTAATAGCCTATCTTCCTCAGTTCCTTCCTTATAGAGAGCTGATGCAGATGGTTCTATAGCAAAAATGATAGTCAGCATGGGAGTGGGTGGACCCCTCTCTTCCCTTGGCCCCTTGGGGAGCCTCAGAGGGTTAGGCCATTCTGTTCCCCTATGTGCCTGTGGATCCAAGGCAGGAAGCGTGAGACCCTTGTGTAGACGCCTGGCTTGTTCTTCATGGCACATCCACTGCCCCAGCTCACAATCCCAGTCAAAGTCAGGCGGCCTTGGGTAGAGCAGACCAGGGGCCCCCCGGAGTCTCCCTGTTAAGCCAAAGACACAGAAAGTGAGCCCTGGGAAAAGTGAGGAGGGGCCCATCTGACCCAATCACCCAGTCATCCCCAAAAGAAAGAAAGAGTTTCTTAGTTTTAAAATCTTTAGTGATTCCGCATTTCCTACCATATCAAGTTTAAAATACTCTGCTTGGCTTACAAAGCCCAGCTATCTGCCACAATTCCATCTGCATTCTCAGGTTCTTTTCCTCCCCATCCTGGAATATGCCATGATCATTCTCATTTTTGTATCTTTCAATGGGAATGTTCTCCTTTCTTCCCCCTGTCTCCTCAGATGCCTACTGAGTCACATTCTCTTTAAAGCCTCCCCTCTTGAATCCCTGGGTGGCGCAGCAGTTTGGCGCCTGCATTTGGCCCGGGGCGTGATCCTGGAGAACCGGGATCGAGTCCCACGTCGGGCTCCCGGTGCATGGAGCTTGCTTCTCCCTCTGCCTGTGTCTCTGCCTCTCTCTCTCTCTCTGTGTGTGTGACTATCATAAATAAATAAAAATTAAAAAAAAAAGCCTCCCCTCTTGACCACCTAATTGGCACTCACCCCTCGCTCCCAAACATCTGATCATTTACAATTTATACCAGGCCCTGAGCACTGAGTAGCATTATTTTTCTATTGTTCTCCTCTTTTATGGCCTTATTTCCTTCCTGTCTCCAGCCTGAAGTGCCTAGCACAGAGCCAGGCTCACAACTGTTTGGTAAACACATAAAGATCAGTTTAAACTGTCTAAGGCCTGAGCTCCTAATTCTGACTTCTTGGGGCTCTGGCTGGAGAGAGGCTCCCCAAAGCTGGCAGGGACAGGCCCACGAGCCCTGGGGAGTTCTGGGGGTGACAGGAAGAGAGGCTGGAACTCTCACCTGGCAGGAATCTGTTTCCCACTCTGGGTCAGCAGCACACAGCATTTGGTCGGTGACTTCAGAGCCATAGTAGTGGGGCTGCTGACACTCCTGGTGGGAAACCAGCTTCACAACAGTCATTTTCAGCTGCTCTGGATAGAGATAGTCAGCTAGATGGAGTAAACAAGGAGAAGTTTACATGAAGATGTGTCTGTCCAACCTTCCCACTGGGACCCTTGGCCAGGGAGGGGACCAAAAGGTGCTCCTGTCAGGGAAAGCCTTTACTCTTTCTGTCCCAAATCTGAGCTTTTACCTCATGTATAGCCTCTTACCCCCAATCTATTTACCTTAAAGATCCATCACTCCCTAAACAGTGCTCCCCATTCCATCCCTAAACCCATATGCTACCTCCACAATGCTCCCATCTCTATCTCCACGTTCCTCTCTTGTTCAAATTGAGCTCACCTCCAGGCGACAAGACTCCCCCAGGACCCTCTCAGCCAGCCCCAAATGTCACTTACTGGAATTCTCTTTTCCAAAGCCACTGATCTCACAGCTTGCACCAAAATGAGCATCACCATGTGATGGAGGGAGGCAGATGGTTTGTATGGACCTGGATGGCTGAGCACACTGGCCCTCATCAGAACGGATCTTCAGCAAGGCTGAAGGGGGAAGAGGGAAGCAGGAGAGGTCAGGGGGAAAGATCTCTACCTGATCAGGCGGCCACCGTCTCTCCCCTCCAAATGCTGAAGAATTGGATGTTTATCCCCAAATCAGGGACAGAGGTCATCCTGGAAAGTCTGCTGATAGCTTATTACCTGAAACAAGCCTCCCCTGTCCCATGCCTCAAGGGCTTTGTTCCAGCTGCTGACATAAGACTCGGCCAGTCAGGGCTGCTATATACAGATGTATGGGTGGCTGAGGTAGATGGGCTAAATTCAGCCCAATGCTGAATTTCCAGATCCTGGGACAGGCAGAGGTTGCATCCAACAAAAGAAGGGGCCTCTCAGCCCAAGTCATACGCACATGGGGCCATTGACATCTAGATGAGGCTAAATGTTTGGAAATTCAAGAACTCTTACGGAGGAGCAGCAGGCCCCTCACATATGTCCCTTTATTATATAAAACAGGATTTTCAGTTCCCCCTAACAACCTCAATCTCCCATTTGGTTCTCTTCTTGGACCCCACTTCCTCCAATCATCATCTTTATGGCAGAAAAGGGTTTTCCACTCACCAATATCATTGTGGTGAGCAAGACTGTCAGCACTATAGTCCTCATGCAAGATGAGCTTTTCCACCTCAAACTTCATCTCCCCAAGTGTTTTGGAGATACGCTTTGACCGACCCAGGTAGACAATGTAGTCCTCCTTCTTCTGGGAGTTACTGTAGGAGGGGAGACTTGTCAGATAGTCTGATCTCATGAGATCTTGTCATTTCCCCTCCACAGCAACCTCAGAGCACGACTTGTCCCCAAGGCCATGGACTGCATGGAGAGGGCTTAAGGGGGGTGGAATTTAAGTGGAATCCTTTGCTGGGAAGGAGAATGGGATGTTTTTGGGGTAAGGCAGGAGGGTCAGGGAGAAGAGACGGAGGGACTTACATGAAGCAGTGTGTGGCACTGACCACCCAGCAAGGACTAATGAGGCTGCCACCACACTGATAGGTGACAGAGCCTCCACGGTGCTTCCTGTAGATGGCTGCAAACCAAGGCTGGTTCTCGATGGTGGTGAATTCTCCACCAATAATCTTAAAGCGAGGCCTCAGAGCCTTCTGGCCACATTGAAACTCTGCTTTTTCTGGAGGAGAGTGGGGATTTTTTTCTGGAGAAGAAAGAAAACGATGTCTTAGGGAGGCAAGTAGGATAGTGTCCCTGTCTTGTCCTCTGACCTCCCAGTTTTTCAAGGCCAGGCAGGCCTCCCTCCTCCACCCTCTTGTGATGGGATAAAGGGACATATAAGTTTGTCCCCTTCCACCTGACTGTCATAAACAGGTCAGTGACACTCACCAAAAGAGCAGTGCTGCACCGTGCACTCCTGGACAAGCTGCATCAGGCCAACCTGCACATAGCACCACGGCTTTCTCTGGTGGTCCGGGTTCCTGGTAGCACAGAGAGGTTAGGGGGAGTGTCATTCCAACCCAGAATGCATTTTCTTCCCCTCCAGGGAAAAGTCAGCCAGAGGCCTTGCTATTCTCATGCTTATGGACAGCACTCTGGAAATATAGGGGACGGTAACAGGGTCCCTGTGGGGCTACCAGAGACTCTTTGCTGCTCCCACCTCACCTGCAGTAATTGTGTTTGCCCAGGCCCAGCTGAAGGGCATCAGGTCTGAGGGCGTGGTACTGTTTCAGAAGAACAGCTGCAGAGTTCCAGGCCAGGCAGGGCCGGCCCCTGGTGTTGGTGTTGGCCTTCCCGCGGTAAGAGTGACCATTCCCCTCGTAGCAGGTTTTTGATGTATCTAAGGAAGAATGGGAGGATGAGAGATATTAGAAAGAAGAGGAAATTCAGACAGGTATTTTAGAGAGCCTATCAGGCCTCACATGATTTCAGGCCCAGCAGAAAGCACTAGAAAGGGTTTCCTTCCCTCCTCATCACACATTTGCACAACCACAGATTCACGAAACAGCATGTGTTTATGCTCCACTGTGTATATCACACAGGGATGAAGATGTTCCCCGCTCCACCTCCAGCTCCTGACTCCTGCCTGCTCTTGCACCTTGCCCATCCTCCCTGTCCCCAAGTCTCTGTTGCCCCCTCCTCCCCACATAGAGTCAGGATCCCCATACCTATCTCACAGTGTTCCCCCTGGAATTTCTTTGGGCAGTTGCATCGCTGAATGTTGGAGAAGTACTTGTAGGACACGCACGTTCCTCCGTTCAGACAGCTGCAGTTTGCTGGAGATCATAGAGATGGAAGGGTAAGCAAGGGGGGGGGGCGCAGGAGCAGGCAAGGGGGGAGCCAGGCCTGCAGCGCCCTCTGGGAGGGGCCGCCCCCTGAGGCTTCTGCAAGTGGTCTGTGCAGCCAGATATTGTGCAACGGGTGGATACTCACATGCGCTAGACACTGGATGAAACTCATGGCTGCCCTGGAAGAGATGGAGGCGAGAAGTTCATCCAAGGTCCCAGGCTCCTGGGCCTCAAAGATGAGGAAACACTGGCCCCAATCCCAAATCTCACCCTTTCCTCCGTGTCCCTCTGTCCTCTCCTTGTTCACATCTAACTAGCCCTCAAGTGCAAGATCGTAGGTTTCAAGCAGGGAGAAACGGATGGACTCGAGCTGGGGTCACAGAGCCGGCAAGGAGGCTGGCGCGGTCTCTGGGGCTTCTTCCCCCCTTGCCCCAAAGTGGGAACTCCCTGAGCCGTCAGGATGCTCACGGCCACATCTGTCCTCCTCCCCCTGACGGGGTCCGGCCCCGCGGTTGCTGGAACCCGGGGCACTCCGGCCCCCTAGGCCGCCCCCCGCCCCCCTCGGGCCGCGGGAGCCAGAGCGGGAAAGCCGCTAATTCGAGAGTCGCTCACCACTAGGGCGCCCAGGAGCAGGCACGTCATCAGGGCTCTCATGGTGGCGGGGCTGAGGCTCCGGGCAGCGGCTCTGCTCGGGAGGGAGAGGTCAACTTGAGAAGGACGCGGGGGAGCGAGGACGTGGGCCGGGGGTGCCGGCAGCTCGGGGCAGGGCCGGGGCGCGGGCGGGGCTCCCCGCGGGGGGATGCCCGGCGAGGCGCACCGGCGCGGGCAGCGCTGACTCAGGCTCGGCGGGGCCGGGCCGGGCACCCCGCGCAGCCGGGGCGGGGTGGGGGGTGTCGGGGCGGCCTGCACTCACCGGTAGCTGCGGCGGGGGGACACGGAGCCGGGACGGAGGGACCCGCTGGGGCTCTGACAGTCCGCGAGGCTCTGGGGCTCCGGGGGCCGCGCTGTGCCGCTCGCGGGCTGCGGGGCTCTATCTATATCAGGACCCGCCCCGGCCCTGGCCCCGCCCCAGCCTGGGATCTCCCCAACCCTTTCCTTCCCTCGGCTTCCCTGGGGACAGCCGCGACCTGGACCCGTGGGCTTCCACGGCCTCGGCTGGGAGCGGGGCGCAGCGCGGTCCCCAGCGGAGGGGACGGGGACGAGCGAGGTCTGAACAGAGGGATCGAGGGGCATCTAACCCCCTCGCCCCCTCCTCCCGTTCACCTGGCCCCGGCTCCACCCCAGGGCCGAGAGCGCCCGGAACTGCACTAGCGAGACTCTCCTCCGTCCGGCTCTGCTGTCTCTTCCCAGATCCCCTAAATCAGCTCTTTTCCAGTCTTCCCACCTTCGGCCCCCCACTGCCTAGGAGAGTGACCGGGACCCTGGGGTATAGGGACCTAGTGCGCGGCTCGTAGAGCTAAGTCTCTTTCTCAACGTGAAAATGCAGGTGACAGGGGCGCCTGGCTGGCTCAGTGCGGGGAGCGTGGGACTCTTCGTCTCTGGGTTGCGAGTTGCAGCCCCAGGTTGCTGTAAGAGGTCACTTAAAAATAAAATCTTTGAAAAGAAAGAAAATGCATGTGACACGGACTCGCTGAGCCTTGCTAACAGGGATGTGTCTGTCAAATAGGAGCTTCCCAAAATTCATCAATCCAACCAGTGGATAAGACAAGCGAGTTTATTGCTTCGGAAGGAAAGGGCCTTTGGTAGTGGCTGGCAGGGGCAGCGTGTAGGCCAGGTCGGATTTTTCTTGCAGTTTGACTTAAGAGTGGTCTTTGAAAGTGAGGGCTTGATAAGGGTTGGATGAGGAATACGGGATTGTGAGAGCAAAGTCTAAGGGCACAAACTATCAATGCTTCCTATTGAAGTATTGATGGATGTTTCAAAAAGTTCCTATAACAAACAATCCTTTTATTTGCTTGGGCCAGAGTATAATTTATTGATAAAGACACTAGTAAAGCCTCATTAACCAGACAGTAAGCTGTGGAGGGGTAAGAAGTTCTGTTTTCACATCTGAGGGGAGGGATTTGGGAATTGGAGGACAAGAATGAGATTATTTTTCACTGTATGCCCTTCTGTGCTGTTTACATTTTTGAAAACATACCTTTGTATCACCCATTCCAAAAACGTAATTACAGATTTTTTTTTAAAAAAACACATATGTATTAGGGATCCCTGCGTGGCTCAGTGGTTTAGCACCTGCCTTCAGACCAGGGTGTGATCCTGGAGTCCTGGGATCGAGTCCCGCATCCAGCTCCCATCATGGAGCCTGCTTCTCCCTCTACCTGTGTCTCTGCCTCTCTCTGTGTGTCTCTCGTGAATAAATAAATAAAATCTTTAAAAAAAACCACATATGTACTTAGTATTCCAGACTTCATCATAAAGCCTTGCTTCTAATAAGATAAAAAATGATTGCTTATCAAACCAGATTGGCCTCCCGGAAGACAAACCATGTGTAAAGGACTCCACCCGCCCTTCCTGCCCTGGGCAAGGGCACATAGTTGTATAGAGGTACACAAGCACATATTCCTCAGACGTGTGTTTGTTTGTTTGTTTTTAAAGATTTTATTTACTTATTCATGAGAGAGAGAGAGAGAGAGAGAGGCAGACACACAGGCAGAGGGAGAAGCAGGCTCCATGCAGGGAAATTGAGGTGGGACTCCATCTCAGGACCCCAGGATCATGCCCTGGGCCAAAGGTGGCGCTAAACCTCTGAGCCACCCAGGCTGCCCTCCTCAGACATAGGTAAAGAAGCACAGCAGGGACTCTGAGGTTCAGTCCACCCCATCCCTTTCCCCTAAGGTTGGGAACCAGAGCTTGGGGTCACTTCCTGCTACCCAGAAGGACTGTCCCCATTAATGGTAGGAAAGAGGGCCGATCCCTATAACTCACTAGGGCCCTAAAGCCCGGCCCAAGGCTTGGTCCCTTTTTCTGCTTGAATTTACAGCGTTTTGCTGCCTGGCAAACCTGAACGTTGTGTCTGGATCCACTTGAGAGGGGCAAGAGGAAGGCAGCAGAGGAGGGAAGAGGAAAGCTTCTTTGTTCTGCTCCTGTCAGAGGCCTCAGGATGCCAGCCTCTCCTGGGGAAAGTGCCGGTTAACCATCCAGCTTTCATGAGGAAGGGGACCCATTATCCTCTGTAAAGAGTTTTTCTGTGCCCAGCTGAGCTGCCAACATCTCAGGGAAGGGACTGAATCAGAGAGGCGATAGGTCTCAGAGCTGGCCTCGCTAGTTCCTGGAGAGGACTGTAGCATGTTTTGTTTGGATTTAATTGCAAATAAATGTGATCAAAATGTAAACAGAGATGTTGCAGCCTGAGGACTTACCCCGAAACTACTAGACTGGGTATCAGGAAATTCCCAGCATACTGTCATGATTCACACAGAGCACCCCCAACAGCTCTCATGACTCTAGATTACTTGGCTGGAGGCTGTCATGCTGATTCTTGAGAGCAGGATGACCTCATTTCCTCCTGGACAAAGAGGCTTGGAGACCGTTATGCAGCTGACACTTTTCTTCCCCTTCCTTCCCCCTGTGGTCCCTTCTCCTGGTTGAACAATACTGAAGCCTCCAAATCTTCGCTTTCTTTCCACTCTGCGATCTTTGGTGCTCTCTGAAATCTCTGTGTCCATCTTTTGGTGCACAACTGTGTTAGTCTTTTCAATTCCTTGAGGGCAGGGATCACATCCTCAACGTCTTTGTCTCCTCTCAGCACTGGGCACGTGCCTTGTTCACATAGGTGCTTTATGAGGAATGGATCAGCAAACAAGTGGGAACAGAGAGCTTTGGGTCACTCTGGAAGTTCCCCTACTCTCTTTTCTTCTTGCCATAAAAAAAAAAAAAATAGTACTGTCTTGTGCTAAAAAGCACTTTTTTTTAATTTTTTTTTAAAAAGCACTTTTTTAAAAAAGATTTTTATTTATTCATGAGAGAGAGAGAGAGAGACAGGCAGAGGGAGAAGCAGGCTCTGTGCAGGGAGCCCGACGTGGGACTCGATCCCGGGACTCCAGGACCATGCCCTGGGCCAAAGGCAGGCACCAAACTGCTGAGCCACCCAGGGATCCCCCTAAAAAGCACTTTGATACAAATTATTCCTCTTTGTGGCATAGCTGGAAAGCATTATTCCCACTTTGCTGATGAGAAGAAGGAGGTGGAGAAAAAAATACAGACTGATGTGTGACAAAGCCAGTACTAGGACCCAGGTTTTCTGATCCTTGTTCCCATGCTTTTTACCTCACTGCCTCCATGGAGAGGGGTACAAAACCGGGGTACAAGACAGAATGCTGTGAAGATGAGGGCCAGATGATATATAATGTCCCAGCTCAAGGGAGCCCTCTTGCTGATTTTGGAGACTGCCTTCCAGAATACTCCCTGGGGTATGGGTGCCTAGTTCCTGGGGAACCCTTGGTGTAGTATGATTTAGTTGCTTGCCTAGGTTCTGGGAACTAACTTGGTGAGCTCGCTATCTGAAGTTTTTATCAAGGGTGAGAGAATAAGGAACATAATTTCAGAATTTCATTCTGTTCTGACCCTCAGAGTCACACTACCAGCCCTCGCCTCTGTGGTTCAGGGGACCAAACTTCCCAGTAAGATGTGGCAACGGAGACTGGTGGAGGCGCCCTCTTTCCAGAAGCTTCTCATAAAAGATCAGGCAGATGTCAGGTGTGCAAAGGGAACCAGGAAGTCTAAACTTGGCCCTGAGACTATATCCAGGAAACTGGGCCCCTGAAAAGGCTATTTTCTGACCAGCAGGACCTAAGGGGAAGTTCACGTCAAGTCACAGGATATATTCCTGGGTCGCTACACCAAGAATGCTCAGCGTGTTACTATATAGAGAGTACAGTGTCTAGCCCCGGGTGGGCCACATCCTAGCTGAATAATCTTTTTTTTAATAAATTAATTTTTATTGGTGTTCAATTTACCAACATACAGAATAACACCCAGTGCTCATCCCGTCAAGTGTCCCCCTCCGTGCCCGTCACCCATTCACCCCACCCCCCGCCCTCCTCCCCTTCCACCACCCCTAGTTCGTTTCCCAGAGTTAGGAGTCTTTATGTTCTGTGTCCCTTTCTGATTGAATAATCTTAAGCAAGACACTTAACTCTCTTGATCTCAGTTCCCAATGTGCAAAAGGAGGCAACACCTGCTCTGCTTGTGCCTCACTTTGCAGATTGAATGAGATCATGCTTGTGCGTGAAAGCATCCGTTTGCTCCTTTATGTACCCAGTGTTTTTTTTTTTAAGACTTTAAAATTTTTATTTATTCATGAGAGACACAGAGAGAGAGAGAGGCAGAGACACAGGCAGAGGGAGAAACAGGCTCCCTGCGGGGAGCCTGACACGGGACTCAATCCCAGGACCCAGGGATCACGCTCTGAGCCGAAGGCAAATGATCAATCACGGAGCCACCCAGGTGCCCCTATGTACCCGGTATTGATCAGGAGCCTACTATGTGACAGGTACAGTTCTAGATACTAGAGAGAGAAGGATGAACTTCTGGGGCACCTGGGTGGCTCAGTCAGTTGAGTCTCTGACTCTTGATTTCATTTCAGGTCATGATCTCAGGATTGTGAGATTAAGCCCAGGTCCACACGGAGGGTGGAGCCTGATTGAGACTCTCTCGGGATCCCTGGGTGGCGCAGCGGTTTGGCGCCTGCCTTTGGCCCAGGGCGCGATCCTGGAGACCCGGGATCGAATCCCACGTCGGGCTCCCGGTGCATGGAGCCTGCTTCTCCCTCTGCCTATGTCTCTGCCTCTCTCTCTCATTCTGTGTGACTATCATAAATAAATAAAAATTTTAAAAAAAAGAGACTCTTTCTCTCCCTCTATCCTTCCCTGTTTGCACATGCATGCACACATGTGCTCTCTCTCTCTGAAAGAAAGAGAAAAAGAAAAAAGAAGGATGAACTTTGTAAACTACAATTCCTACCCTGAGTGCCTGCCTTGCCTTCCTGACTATG